CCCCTCCCAAATACTCACACACACTGTCACTTTAATCAGTCTGAATAAGCTCTTTTGCACTACAAATATTTTTATTTTTTTTTGCACTACAATCATTATATCTGCACTGTTGTTTACTTTACTGGTTTGCACTCTATCTGCCATATGCCTTGTGCTTTATATATATATATTTTTTACATTTTACCTTATTTGTATAGTTGTATTTTGTATTTAATCTGTATTTATGTTATCAGTATGCTCCCAAGGGTCTGAGAGTAACGCAATTTCAATTCTCTGTGTGTATGTGCTGTACATGTGGAAGAATTGACAATAAAGCAGACTTGACTTGACTTGACGACTAATTCGTCAACTGGCCGCTAAAGGCTGGCTCCAAAAGGGAGTCAATCCCATAGACTGCCCATGTTAAAATGCCCAACTTTACAGCAGAAAAAAACATTTACAGCCTGGTTCAAAAAATTATTTTGGTCTATATAGCTAATTTTGCCCTTCATGACAACTGTGAGGGGGGCAAAATACAGTAGAACCCATTATAATCAGTGACGCTGTGTACACTGGATGCAGTGCGGCACGACAAAACCCGACATTAAACTGATGCCTTGTTCTATTTATGACGTACTGACACGAAGTTAAAATGATTTGCAACGGTCGCTTTGTCGCATCCAGTGTAGATCTGTTGTGGTGCGACGCGTCAACTGTAGCGTCCGGTATAGACACAGTGAGTGAAGCCGAGAGCAAGATATGCCTCGTCATATTTTCTGTATTTAGCTTTTGAATGACCAGCACCTGTCTGGGTCTGTGCGACTTCATCTATGGCTTTTCTCTTCGCTTTCACAAACCGATCCATCTCCCATTCTAAGTTACGTCCTTTGGCTGTTTACTTATTTCTTTTTCTGCTGATGGCCCGCGCTCGACTTGAAGCAATGCTGCTTAGACCGATGGGTGTGTGTCATCAAAGTACTGAGAGAGCTATAAGAGAGCACGGACGTCTCCTTATGCTTTCTCTCGCCGTACTTTGATGTCATACACCGATCTGATCTTCAAGTCGAACACACCTCTTTACTCTCACCTGTCACGTGACCGTGTAATCGCAGCCTCTGCGATTGAAAAATCAAAATTTCTCATATCGCGATATTATCGCAAATGCAATTAATTGTTCAGCCCTACCGCCCACTTTGAGCTTCAAAAACGCTCTTTAGAAACCTATGGGTGACGTCACGGACACTACGGCCATGGTTTTTTTTTTACAGTCACAAGCTGTGTCCGAAACCGCTCCCCATCCACTACTAGTGCACTATATCGGGTGCACATTTTGTAGTGCTGTCCGAATTCTGAGTGAACGACTTCATTCCCTACATTCGTCCACTACTTTTTAAAGCTCTTCCTGTCCTATAGCTGTAAAGCACTGCAGTTTATCTTTTGGTGCGATGAATGAAGCTAAAGTATTCTGATTTCGAGTGTACAACCGATGTACACTTGCTGAAGCACTATTTCCCTCAATCCAATACGGAGAACCGGTGAGCTGGAAGAGAGAGCGGGAGCGAGCGAGTTTAAATGAGAGATGCAGTTTACATCTTTATTTTGTTCACTCCTTTCTGATATTGCACTCAACTACTATACACTATATAGGGATTAGTGAATGAGTGAGCGATTTCGGACACAGCTACAGTTTTTATGGTCACAACACATCTATCTCCAGCATTCACCCTTGATCCTAAAAACAAAAAGAACCTACATTTGAACAAACAGTGGAAAACTCAAAAAGCCATATAAGGGTTAAAACAAAAAGTTATTTTAGGGAAATAATATAATATAACTTAATATATTTGCATGTTAAACCAAAGACTATGGTTAAACATACTATGTAAATATTGTAGATTTTCATTGCTAGTACTAACTATTGATAATGTTATGATTAATAGTCACCTTAATTTCGGTCAATAGGTCAACAAATCATCGGTAAAAGAAACTTGATGGTCGTAGGAGGGGCAACTTTAATTTTAACTTTTGAGCCAAATGTTCGCAAAAAAAAAAGGCTCACCCACATACCATTTCAAGTTAACTTTGATTCGAACCTAAAATAGGGGTTTCTGAGCATTATGTGCATTATAGTCAGTATATTTTCACCAGTTTTCCCCATCCATGACGATTTGCAAACCCAATTGTTTGTGGGGAAAGACGCGGCATTATTTTCGCATTGATGGCTAATTAGCCAATCAGAGTGAAGAAGAGAACCTGATAGGCGGGGAATATCATATTGACAGGGTAATCAGCCAATCAATGCAACGATGTTAACATGATAGGCGGGCATATCGCTGTGACAGGTTAATGAGCCATTTCTGAATTTTTTTATTAATACTAGAAAGGTATATCGTGCAATGTGACTCAGCTTCTGTTTTTATCGGATTGATAATGAAGATATACTGTATCTGCGAATGCCAATTCTGTTCAATAATATTGACCAGCTTATAGCCGAGACTAAACCCATACCTTAGGGTAGCCCTGTTGCAAAATTGACCTTCTAAACCACCTTAGAACCACAATAAAAACCAAAACATATTATTTCATATAGAAATCGGGGCTCTGAACACATTTTTGTGGGTGGGCCCTCTCTCCCTTTGGGCATAGGACGGTTCCCAGTTGTCCTGCCCAAGTGATGTCCCTGACTGAATTATATTAATCTAAATGCAGATCTCCTCCTCATGTTCTCCCTGTATTAGAGCTCCAAAGTCCTTTGATACCTTCTTTGCGTTCCCATTGTAGATAGAAAAGCACAGCAATGTCCTTTGATGTGTCCTGGTAGGCAGTGATGTGCTGTGGGCTCATGGTAATGAACCGATGCGGCTCCTGCAGGTGAATATCTACACAGACGTTGTCATCAATCACACATGTGCGTCGGGCGGAGGGGAGAGGAGGCACTCGACCTGCGGCTCGTACTTCAATGCCACCCGTGAGGAGTTCCCATCTGTGAGATACTCTGCCACTGACTTCAATGATGACAAATGCGCCAGCCGCCGTGGAAATATTGAGAATTACCAAGACATTTATCAGGTATAATTTCAAAAGTGATAAAAGGGCCCTTGTTGGGAATACCATTGGACACAGTTGGAAACTGGAATTTGTTTCTCATCTAGGCAGAGCAATCAAGAGTATCTGAATATCAAATGGGCTTCATATGACCCACCACAATATTCCATACACTACTGGTCAATAGTTTGGACTAATTAAGATTTTTTTCATGTTTTTGAAAGAACTTTTGCTCGCCAAGGCTGCATTTAATTGATCAAAAATAGTACTTAGCACTGACAAAATGAAGGCCAGAGCTGGTCTTCATCTCATTAGTTTTGTGCTGTCTGAAACCCCAGTTGAATCTTCGACTTATTTCATCTGCAGTAACCTTTCTTATTCCCGGTGGACATATTTGTGTTGGTGTAAAGAATTTATGGCGATCTAATTAAGATTTTTTTCATGTTTTTGAAAGAACTTTTGCTCGCCAAGGCTGCATTTAATTGATCAAAAATACAGTGAAAACATTAATATTGTGGAATATTATTACTTATTATTATAACTGTTTTCTATTTGAATATATTTTGAAATCTAATTTATTCCTGAAATGGCAAAGCTGAATTTTCAGCATCATTACTCCAGTCTTCAGTGTCACATGATCCTTCATAAAGCATTCTAATATGCTGATTTGGTGCTCAAGAAACATTTGTTATCATTATCTACGTTGAAAAATGTTATTGCTGCTTAATATTTTTTTTGTGGAAACAATGATACACTACCATTCAAAAGTTTCAGCAAAGATACAATAAACAGATGAAAGGTGACAGTAAAATATTTCTATTTCAAATAAATGCGGTTCTTTTTAACTTTCTATTCTTCAAAGAACCATAAAAAAATCAGGATTTCACAAATAAATTAAAATTAAATAATATATATAATTAAAAATTAATAATTGAGCAGCAAATCAGCATATTAGAATGATTTCTGAAAGATTGTGTGACACTGAAGGCTGGAGTAATGCCATAACAGGAATACATTAGATTTTAAAATGTAACATTTGACTTTAAATTGTAATATTTCACAATATTACGGTTTACTGTATTGTTAACAAATGCAGCGTTGATGAGCATAGGAGACTTCTTTCAAAAACATTAAAAAATGTTTTTGAAACTCGTCCATTAATAAATTATTCCACACCTTTGACCTTTATGGTTTATGTTTAACCTTTATTCATGGTTATCATGATTAAATCATGAAAACCAAAAGCATTTGGCGTTCCTGAAATCAAACCTGGTACAATGCGTCTTGAGAATCTTAGATCTCAGACTAAAGTACATTGAACAAATAACAGCTAATCTTCAAGTTGGGCCAGCCCTGGTCACAGTCTTTCTTGTGCATTGTTTGTGTTTGTCTGAGCTCTGCTGTATTGACAGCACCATCTGTGCTGCTGGAAGATGAGCTGGCTGACTGATAGCGACTTCTAAATTTATTCTCCTTCACATCAAAGGCACATGTTGTGCGTGCAGAACAATACTGGAACCATTAAACATCAGGATCCGACCTTTTGTAACCTTGAGTGCACAAACAACCCAGATTAATATCAATATTGCATAGAAAAGTATATATAAACAATATTGTTATGAGAAGGTCTTGAAATAGGCCAGCAGTTTCAATGAAGATCCAGATGAAAGTATTATTTCCTTTTATTATTATTTTTTTGCATTGCTATATATATATATATATATATAAAAAAAATCAAATATAATAAAGTACAATACATCAATTGATGAACTTCAGTCCAACAGAACTCAACAGCAGTATTCTGCAATAAAATTGGAGGGGGAAAATGTGTGAATATTAATAACAAGCTTTATGTGTAAAAACAAAATGTACACACACACACACACACACATATACATATACATATACATATATATATATATATACATATACATATACATATATATATATATATATATATATATATAGCCTATATTTTTTTATTAAAGCAAGCAATTCAAATAACTCTTTTAAAGGATATTTTAAAGGATATGAAGTAAAGATGGAGCTCCTGTAGGCTCATGATTGAACATCAACATCATCTTAAACAAATAGAAATGTTGGGTTAAAATTTATCTGGACACCAAAAAAAAAAAAACTTTAAAATTAAGAGGCTATTTTATCAACTTATAATAATTTCTTATAAAAAAATGTGTCAGTACATTTTTCACCAACCCACTTCAACAGACACAACCATAAAAATATTTACATAAATACAAAAATTGTTGGTCTTTTAACCCACCAGTTCAGTGTTTTTTCCCTCCTTTCTTTGAATCAGCAGATTCCTGTTTAGGTTTTGCAGATCGGGCGAATTGCTGGAGTTTAAGTTAAGGCATGATTTTATTTGACAGTAAAACATTTGTAAAAAATAAATCCTAGGTGTAAAAAGCAAAACACATTGTTTTTGTTGGAGAGTGAAAGACAAAACATTCTGTCAGAAATGTAATGCCAAAAACAAAGGATACCACCACAAGAGGTTTGTCGTTGAGTACATATCCATTGGTTTCCTTTAAGGCCTTCTCTGCGCTTCTCTCGCTGGGGAGCCCAATGAAGGCCTGACCTTTCATCCTCCCCTCTTTCATCAAAACAATATCAAACCTGACGGGAACAAACACACTTGTACATCAGCACATGTTCATGAAGAACTCACCTGTATTCACCACTAGCCTAGGAGTGGTGTTTTCTTTTCATTGGCTTTGATTGTGATTTGCAGAGTTAAGGCCCCAGACAAGGGCCTGAGGCATGAGACAGTGGTGCTTACATGTTTCTCTCCTCCTCTGAGGAGATGTCGATATACCGGCCGTAGATGAACTTCAGATCCTGCGGAAAAGATTGAGCTGGGTTATGTAGCTGGTACTAAAGTGAGAATTATGAGCTCTCCGACTGTTCTAGACCCCACAGTAAAGCAAATGTTATGTAATCTTAAGAATTTTGTGTATGTAGAATACAAATATATATATATATATATATATATATATATATATATATATATTATATTTGCAGTATTACTGTAAAAACTGGTAATAAAGACTACCAGACCAACTAATAGGTTTTAGTAGGATTTAGCCATCTTAAAATTATTTGCATGACCACTTAGCCAATTAACAAAACTGGTTAATGTTTATTCATAAATTAATAAGTTATCTGGTTTTCCAGGAATTGTTCAGTCCAAGAAAATAAATGTATAAAACATAATTGTAAAAAAATAAAAATAATAATAAACAATAAAAATATATATTAAAAATAAAAAGATACATTTAACATACTATTTATCCATACATTAATGCATTAACTCATCCACTAATTTTTATATTATTCAGTTATATAATAATTGTCCAGTCCAACTCATCTACTGATATTACAATATTACATTATTATAATATCAATATAAAATCTTTTTTTCCAAAACAAATCATTTTATCCTTACATTATCCAGTTATCCAGTAATTGTCTAGTCCAATTCATACATTGACAAAATAAATGTATCAAAAAAATTATAAGAAAAATGAATGTAATAATAATAATACTGTATGAATCATATATATGTGTGTGTGTGTGTGTGTGTGTGTGTGTGTGTGTGTGTGTGTGTGT